TGGGCAAGAGTGCAGCACCCAAAATTGGGGTGCTTTGGGGCTGGAGATGCTGAATGCTGACCTGAGGGATGGTTCCCAAGTCTGCTGCAGATGCTTAGAGGTATCTCACTGACTTGCACACAAATGAAGCTTTTTTTTTTTTTTTCTTGAGCCACAGGTGGTAAGGAAATAAAAAACCCTTATTTTTGTTACTGGGGGGAGGTGTAACAGTTGTGTAGGAGGAATCATGATTTGCCAACACTAATACAGTAAAAGAGCTTTTTTTTTTTTAATTTTAAAGCACAAAGTATCTTACTGAGCTGAGGCTGCAGGCTGAACATGTGAAGCAGGCGCTCCCATGCACTGTAAAATAGCCCCTTACCTCTGCTTACTCAAACACCAGTGAGCCAGAGCTGTGCTGTTGTGGTTGGAACAACCATGCCAATAAATGATTTCTCCAGTGTCTTGTCTCCTGGGCCCTGGTTGCTTCTGCTTGACTTCCAGCCACCTCAAATGATTGTCTGGTGTGGAAGCAGGTGAGACCTTTCTGTCTTCATATAATGGTTTGGGTTGGAAAGGACCTTAAAGATCACTCAGTTCCAAACCCCCTGCCATGGGCAGGGACACCTCCCACTAGCCCAGGTTTCTCCAAGCCCCATCAAACCTGGCCTTGGACACTTCCAGGGGTGGGGCAGCCACAGCTTCTCTGGGCAACCTGTGCCAGGGCCTCACCACCTTCACAGCCAAGAATTCCTTCCCAGTATCCCATCTAACCCTGTACTTGTCACTTTGAAGCCATTCTCCCTTGTCTAGTCCCTCCATGCCATGTCCCCAGTCCCTCTCCAGCTCTCCTGGAGCCCCTTTAAGCACTGGAAGCAGCTCTAAGGTTTCCTTGGAGCCTTCTCTTCTCCAGGTGAACACCATCAGCTCTCCCAGCCTGTCTCCAGAGCAGAGGGCTCCAGCCCTCAGAGCATCTCCATGGCCTCCTCTGGAGTATCTCCTGCAGTTCCATGTCCTTCAGATGCTGGCACCAGCTCTGGAGATGGGGTCTCACCTGAGCAGAGGGGGAGAATCCCTTCCTTGTGCAGGTGTGGTCAGACTCATCCCTGTCCTCTGACCCTGCTGGTGACAGCCACTGCCTGGGGCTTGTGCTGGTGGTAGGGAAGGTGCTTCAGCCTGGATCAGAGAACAGCCAGGACTGTGCCACCACTCCTGCTGCCTGCTGGGCAAGCTCCTTTCTAAGTTAATTTACTGCCCCTCAGCTGTCACCCTGGTTACAATTCTTCCTTCATGTCTGGCATGCAGGGCTGTGCTGTGATATCCTGACTTGGCACCAAGGAAGCACTGGAATTGCATCCGAGCTGAGGGCTTGTAACTTGTGTGTGGAATTACTGGTGTAAAAAAAAAAAGACAGCCAGTAAAAGAAAAAAAAAAGATCAAACACTTTTTTTTTTTTTCCAAAGAAAACTTTAATTTCAACAAGACTGGAAGCTGCACAAAGAGAGCTACCACAAGTTTCTTCAGAAAAACAGCTTAGAAGTTATCTACATTGGTACCTGTGGAGTTGGGAGTTCTCCTTTTGAACAGCCTGGCCACAGGGCATGGACCTTGCAAAGGCCACCAAACTGTCCCTGGCAGCTCTGTCCTGTTCCAGGACGTGGGCTCTCCTTCCCTTCACAACAGCAAAGCAGCATTTGAGGGGGGTGGGTAGGGACCTTGACAACAGCCATCCACCCCAGCATAACAGGACTTGCCTTTAAAATGTTTTTGTTTTTTTTTTTTCCTCTTGTAAGTCCAAATGTGTCTGATGATGTATCAGACCAGCCTCTTCCAGCTCCCACATCAGCGTAACCCAAAGCACCATTCCAAAGCCGGAGCCGAGTTTGCCAGGGAAACCTGCCCTGGTCACCCCCTCAGGGGCTCCAGCCTTCCCAGCCCAGGGCAGGGATTGCTGCTGCCTTTCAGGGTGGCCAATGCCCCCTCAAAAAACATCCCATGAGGGACAGCAGGGTGCAATCTCTCTCTCCCCCCTGTTGCCGTGGCACCACCACCCATCCCCCCGGGCTGAGCCCAGACCCAACAGTGGAGCCCTGGGGTTATGAGCTCAGGGCCACGCTGGCATCTCCCTCCTCATCTTAACCCCCTCCCCACTGCTTAAACAAGGGCATTGCCAGTGCAGGGGTCATCTGTCACAGGGTAGGGAACTGCACAGCTGCCTTTCAGCTGGGGGCACGCTAAAGTGGACAGAGCATCTCACCACCATTAAAAAGGCTTCTTTCAGCAACCTTCAGCACAACAGAAATGGGACTACTGCCTCTGCCTGTTTCCAGGCTGCAGGATGTCAGCCAGCCTGGTCTGAGGGCTAGAAAGTGGCCAGAGCTTTTTTTCCCCTGGATAAGAAAGCATGTTCCTCTCCCAGCTGAAGCAGCGTCCTTCCAGCATGGGGCAGGCTCGGGATGCGATGGGGAAGAGG